CCTTATGCTCTACAAGGCTGAGCACTTATTTGATAAAAATACAGTAAAAACAGTAAAAATGTGAAATATTATTACAATTTCAAGTAACTGTTTTCTATGTGAATATCTGTTAAACTGTAATGTATTTCTGCGATCAAAGCTGTATTTTCAGCATCATTACTCCAGTCTTCAGTGTCACATGATCTTCAGAAATCATTCTAATATGCTGATTTGCAGCTCAAGAAACATTTCTGATTATTATCAATGTTGAAAACAGTTGCGCTGCTTCCTATTTTTGTGGAAACTGTGATACATTTTATTTTCCAGGATTCTTTGATGAATAGAAAGTTCAAAAGAACAGCACTTATTGGAAATAGAATTGTTTTGTAACATTAGAAATGTCCTTACTCTCATTTTCAATAAATTCAATTTCTTTGAAAAGAAACAAATAAAATGCAATTATTGACCCCAAACCTTTCAGTAGTCCAGGTCTCATAATATTTGTCATGAATTATGGTGATGCAGGTAATTGTGTGAAAATAATGAATTATAATAATAAAAGTACTGTATCGCAAATTGTCCATTCTGCATTATTTTCCAGATCTTTTGAAGCCATTTGGAATTCAAGAAGAATTGAAGAATTTGGATTCAAATTATGTCAAATCTGCCTTGATCGTGAATCTGAATGCAGATGCATTTCTGAACTTCAGTGGAAAACTAAATTGTCAGCAACTAACGACTTAAACTTCATTTTGTTCCTCACGCACAGCAATCGCTTGACATCTAGCTGTTGGTCTGGCACGGGCAAACTGGCCATTTTGTTTATCCTTTAAATGAACGTCTATTACTCATTACTCTTGCATTTGTAGTAGTGCTGGGCGGTATGACCAAAAATTTATATCACGGTATTTTTCAAAATTATACCGGTTTCACGGTACATGTAGGGATTTTGGTGTGCGTTTTTTTTTTTTTTTTGGCAGATGAAATAAGGCCCAAGTATTTATTCATGAGATTCATCCAAAAAGTATTCATCAATCATCATTAATCATGAAGAAACAATACATAAATCACAATCCAAGAGTGATTCCAAAGGCTCTTGACTCTTCCAGTGATTTCTAAAGCTTGTGACGAGTCCTCAAACTTAAACCTGAAACTCTTATTAGGACATCTAGTGGTGTTGGTGGGTATCTGAGTCATATACACAACCCTTTAAAAGTTGGGACTCTGTTAGATTCTTTTTGAAATAAATTAATCATTTTATACAGCAAGGACACATTAAATTGATCAAAAGTGACCGTGAAGACATTTATAATGTTACAAAAGATTTCTATTTCAAATAAATGCTGTTCTTTTGAATAACTATCTATTCATTATATCATGGTTTCCACAAAAATCTGAAGCAGCACAACTGTTTTCAACATTGATAATAATCAGAAATGTTTCTTGAGCAGCAAATCAGCATATTAGAATGATTTCTGAAGGATCATGTGACACTGAAGACTGGAGTAATGATGCTGAAAAATCAGCTTTGATCACAGGAATAAATTACATTTTAACAGATATTCACATAGAAAAAAAACACTTTTTAAATTGCAATAATATTACTTCAAAATGTTACTGTTTTTTTCTGTATTTTTGATGAAATATATGCAACCTTGGTGAGCAGAAGAGACTTCTTTCAAAAACTTTTGAATGTTATTGTTCACTCAAATATGGATTTTCCTGTTTAATGTAGTTAATTTACAACTATTCATAATGACAATTTTAGTGAGTACAATCAAGTTTCAGTGTTTAAAAATGGAAGTTTATTTCATTCTGAGACTGCATGGATAATTCTCACTGGTAATTTGATTTAGTACTCGACAAAATATATATATTTTTTTTTATAAAAATATTTTTTTATATATAAAAAATGTTTTATTTCTTGCAAAAAACTGTAGACATTTATTGTTATAGATTATATATTGTTATATATTATATACATATATACATACATATATATATATATATATAAAATTGTAGATGCATAACGTAGTAATACCTTTAACACTCTTCAAAGGAATAGTTATTTACTCCAAAGCCACATGATCTCTGTTCACTAAAGGTAATTTTTAAAACACATTCTGCATATTAGTATAATGACAGTGAAAGAGGACTTAGGCTATCAAACACCAAAATGACATAAGTACAAAAAAAAAAAGAAAAAGATAAATATCATAAAACTGGTCAGTATATGTGTCATATTTAAACTCTTCTGAAAACATATCAATTCGTGTCAGGAACAGACACAAAATAAAAAGACAAATGTAAGTTGTTGTTTACTAACAATCTTGACATGGGAAAAAAAGACTCCTTTTTTGTTCCACAGATGACAAAGCATCTAGAAGGCAAAACTAAATGCATTTAAGTTGGTATAACACGAAAGAGAGGGGAAAAAAAACAAAAAAAAACAGAAAACAAACAAAAAAAACATTACGCACACATATATACACGGCAAATGAACAAACATGGTACAAAACAGGCTTTGTTCTGTGCCTTCTTACTTTTATAAGTGCATTTTAAATTTCTCATCAATCTTCAAATGCTGCTCTGAGTGTTATGTCTCCTGTTATTTACTGGAATGGTCATAGTGTTCAACTTTTGGTCCCACAACAACAAACTCACTGAGCATTCAGAGATCTGCATGTTTGTTTGCTTCGTTCAGCGAAGCTCGATGCACATCTGGATTCAAAATGTTTCTGCTCTGCACTTTAATATTGACTTCATAGAAGTTAACAGAACACAACTGCATTTTCTTGGGTCATGAACAAAGACCATATTCCTCAATTGTTTCAGTTCAGGGCAAATTGCTTAATTACAAAGTTACTCTGCGCTGCTACCAAATAATGGCACATGTGTGTGATATACAGCGGCATTTGCATTTGGACGCATATGTTAAACCACATATGAATATCACTGCATTAGATTAGCAAACCAAATATATCAAAAAGCAGACTTTTGAACAAAGTTGATACAGTTCGAAATAAGATCAGTAGTGTGTGACTTTGCATTTGTTTGTTGTTAGCAGATCATGTCTATAGTTAATGTGATGAACTACACATGTAGTTCATGCATTCATTAAAAACAAAGATAAAGAAAACATGAAAAGTGAAGTAAAAGTGAAAGATCCTGCATTTGAGACGGACACTCAAATTGAAATTGTAAATCTAACGCAATGACATCCATATATTATGTTTAACTTACATTTCCAAACATTGTAACGGCACAGAAGCACATGTGTGGAGCGAATCAAGGAGATAAGGTACAAATTGACAGAGAAATGTCAAAAAATAATAATAATAATTTCAAGGGTGAAACTTTCCCAGTGAACACAGTGTAGTGCTTTACTGTAAACACACTATTGAGTTTCATGCAGGCAGTTTAATGTATTTCATGCTTATTTAAGAAGCTGCTTTCCAACGAGCAACCCATGAGAATCTGCATCTCCTCCCTGATCACGCTGCCAAAACAATCAGCTATAGCAAAGACTCAATAAGAGCGCTACTCTTTCACACTGCTCCTGTCACAACAATTACGGTCTGTATCGCCAGTTCTATTTGAGAAATTACCATACAATGAAAAGCACCACCTTAAAGCAATATTACATGCCAACTTAACTTATAAGACCTTTTTGACATGGCACTTTTCTGATAAACACTAGTTTGTAGGGTTCTGCAGGCCTCGGCATTAAAGGGACAGTTCACCCAAAAATGAAAATGTGCTGTTAATTTACTCATCCTCAGGCCATCCAAGATGTAGGTGATTTTTTTTTCTCAGTCGAACAGTAAAGAAGATTTTGAGCTGAAACCGAGGTCCTTGGTGATTTATAAAATAAAAAAAGCATAAACAGGCAAGACAAAATTAATATTCGTGGCTCCTGACGATATATTGAGGTCTTATGAAGAGAAACAATCAGTCTGTGCAAGAAACTGAACATTATTTACAACATTATGACCTGTAATCCAGAGCCTCAGGCAAACTGGGAAATCTGATTCTTATTGATTCTCAAACTGGTTCTTTCAGACAGTTCGTTTCAATTCAAGTATGTTTACGTAATCACGCAATGACGTAACGTATATGCAAAATTATATTATTAAAGCACCCAATAATGATGTGAAATGTTTTTTGACTCTTAAAGTGCCGGCAGCTGCTGACTTGTATTTTATGAATTAGCAAGGACCTCGGTTTCAGCTAAAAATCTTCTTTACTGTTCGACTGAAGGAAAAAAAGTCTTGAATAGCCTGAGGGGGAGTAAATGAACAGCAAATTTAAATTTTTGGGTGAACTGTGTTTTTAACAATGTGCTTGTCTTTTGAACAAATAAAACTGATTGCTTTACCTGTCCAAAAACTTTAGTACATAAAACCATTAACAAAATGGGAAAAGACACTAAACTGAAAAGGAAACTGGCAGAAAAAAATAATTTTACTCATTTTTAGCTGAAAGTCTTCCTCTATATAGAGTATAAATAGGACTGATCGTTTTTAAAATTCAAGAGCCCGAATAACCTTTCACTTTCATTGTGTAGAAAAGAGCAGCTTCTGAAAATATCTCCTTCTGCGATTCATGAATGATATTGTGGCACGTGTGCAGCAGTGGACCACGCTTAATTTGTAAAAAATGTTACAACGTTTAAAATTGAGTAGAAAAGTGCGAGGTTTCTAAAAAAGAATGAATAGAGCATATATAGGCTACAACAAGGTTTAATCTGGCCGCAAAGGAAACTGGCAGAAAAAACTAACTTTACTCATTTTTAGCTGAAAGTCTTCCTCTATATAGAGTATAAATAGGACTGATCGTTTTTCAAATTCAAGAGCCCGAATAACCTTTCACTTTCATTGTGTAGAAAAGAGCAGCTTCTGAAAATATCTCCTTCTGCGATTCATGAAAGAAGGTCCTACGTTTACAGCAAGTAAATGACATCTTAATTTTGGTCCCTTTGGTTTGAAATGACCCAGCAAACGTGTGCGTTCACATCATACCTTGCAAACCGTCTCTGTGTCCCAAGGCAAAATGGTCTGTAGGTCGATGAGCTCGCAGGAGACACCCAGCTTCTCCTGTGCCATGGCAGCCACTTCCCTCAGCACATGCACCTGCAAGCCAAAGGTCAAAGGTGAACTCACAGTTAACAGTACAGTCTAAGATACGACACTCAGTTTTATTTGCTGTTTCAGAATCTCTCCAGCCAGTGTTGAAATATTCAGATCAGACTAACAAACATGATTTTACCTGATATTTTTCATTATTAGGTAAAATACAGTAAAATAAATATTAAAATACTAAAAGGCACACTTTTCCACACTATTTGAAACCATATTTTTCTGCATTAAAAAAAACACAGTTGAACGGTTTCAATTTCATAGTTTAAGTTTGATAATATTTTTTTATGCTTTTGAAGGAAATCTCTTCTGCTCACCAAGGCTATAATTATTTGACCAAAAATACATTAAAAACAACGAAAATGTGAAATATTATTATAATTTAAAACAGCTGTTTTCTGTGCAAATATCTGTTAAACTGTAATTTATTTCTGTGATGCAGCGCTGAATTTTCAGCATCATTACTCCAGTCTTCAGTGTCACATGATCTTCAGAAATCATTCTAATATGCTGATTTGCTGCTCAAGAATTATTATTATCAATGTTGGAACTGTGATACATTTTATTTTTCAGGATTCACAGATTCACAGAAAGTTCAAAAGAACAGCATTTATTTGAAACTGATTTGAAATGTCTTTACTGTCCTTGTCTAATAGAAGTATACATTTCTTTACTAAAAAACAAAAGTTTTGAACGGTGGCATATATCAGAAATATTTCATTCATCCCGAAGGCCAGCTTTGTGTCGCTCATGTCTCGGTGAGATGAATGAAAAGCAAAAGGAGAGCACCGTCTATTAGAATCAAGCCTATTCACGAATGGCTGGCGAAGTCCTCGTTTCCCGTGACCTGTGACTCGTCTCTGCACTCGGTCTTACGGGCCTTCAGTCATTCAGCAGGATAAACCTGTGGAGTGTCTGAGCTGAGCGTCAGGACACCCAGAGAGCTGTCGAAATCACCATCGTACGATGAGCACACGTTCTCACAGACGTACCTGTGTTCCCCAGGCCACCAGCGTCAGGTCACTGCCCTCCTGCAGCACCTCGGCCTGCGAGAGCGGGATCTGATAGGCTTCTGTGGGCACCTGCTCCACTGCAACACAAAACCACACATCACACATCAGCCCACAAAGCCTGTGAAGCCTGACATGTCAAATAATAGTCAGAAATTTTTTTTGTAACTGTTTAATAAACCTTTAGTCTAAAAAAATTTTTTTTATGTTTGGCATGATTTGATACATAAGGCTTTTGTGGCTCATATAGAATGATACAGAGGATATGAAGGGGGAAAAAACAGCTCAGTTTTATTCAGGGACTCAAACGGAGCAAAAATATGCAATTTGCTGCAGATGCTGATATTTATATGGACAAAAAGTAAGATGAAATTCTGATGCTTGTAATGTAAATCAATTAGATCTTTATAAGAGTATTGCAGATACTTACATAAAATGCTATAAATATCAGTCGTCGCTCTATATCTCCAATAATGTGTCTTAGTAATGTAAGGGAAACAGGTCAATTTAGCTTCAAATATGGACTAACCCAACTGTTGGGTTAAAAAGTTAATTCAAAAATGTAACCAAAATTTAACCCAACAGTTGGGTTAGTCCATATTTTACCCAAAATTGGGTTGAAACAACCCAGCATTTTTTAGAGTGTACAGTTATTCTTACGTTTACTTGATAAAAATCAGTCAATATTTGACAGCAAAAAGGCACGTGAAGCACGGAGCTGAAGGAGGACAATTACACTAAAAGAGCTTTGACTTGATAAAAAAAAAACCTCTGAACTATCAATCAGACGACAGAAGCAAAGTTTTGATCATGCTGATCATAAACTTTATAAAGTTAAGATTAAATCTATAATTTTATCTTAAGGGGGGGGGGTTCTTGAAGGACATGAAACAAAATGGATGCATGACGTTTTGTGACAAGTCAGTTAAAACTCTTCCGATCCTTTTGATCTGTTCATACTGGTAATATTGAAAAAGCAGTAAATTTGCATCAGGAGAAGTTTTGCACGGCTGGAAGAAACTAGCTAAAGAAAGGTTTAGTCTCACCTGGCAGCATGCCGATGGGGTGATTCAGGCAGCTGTCATATCTCATGAGGTTCAACCCAATTTTGGGTCAAATATGGACTAACCCAACTGTTGGGTTAAAAAGTTAATTCAAAAATGTAACCAAAATTTTTGAAGGACAGGAAACAAAATGGATGCATGACGTTTTGTGACAAGTCAGTTAAAACTCTTCCTATCCTTTTGATCTGTTCATACTGGTAATATTGAAAAAGCAGTAAATTTGCATCAGGAGAAGTTTTGCACGGCTGGAAGAAACTAGCTAAAGAAAGGTTTAGTCTCACCTGGCAGCATGAGCACAAAGAACTTTTCACAGCTGTCATATCTCATGAGGTCTTGGTTTTTGATCCTAAATGCCGAATTATCTTTATGGTTAAATTATGTTTAATTAGAGCCATTTTCTTCATCCCGGTTTATATTCTCACTGAAGTCTTCTGGGAAATCATGCAGTTTTGATATTGAGGTTTAAAGTAATTTTGTTGAAAATGATTGAAGTTGATGTTGGTTGGTTAGGAGCGTGCTTTTGCTCAGAATTAGAAACAGAAGCTTGTGAAAAATCCACTATTATCTTTTCTGTACATGTATGGGTTATATTTCGCTTATCCATGAAGTAAAAACTTTCTTTGGAAAACCAGGAAGAGCTGAGACGGAGCGCTTTTAATGTTTCACATGTACAGTAGCATTTTTCTGTCATATTTCGGCTATTTGTTAACAGCAGATCTGGATAAATGAAAACAGCTAAAGTGGTTTTGTCTAAGCATATTTAGCTAAAGCTAACGTTCATCTAGCGCAGATCCAGATGGTCACAGCTTCCTGGAGAAATCTTATGATCCTAACAGTTACATTTGCTATTTGGCCATATCAATACCAGGGTTATGATTTTATTTATTTTTTTACTTAAATATATATTGGATTAAAAAATAATAATAATACATTTTACTTCAGTTAATTGCCAAGTCAACATTTGTAATTTTCATTTAATTTAACATGATGCATCAAAACGAATACTGAAATTAAAAGTAATTAAACCTAAATAGTATTACGTAAAATAAACAAAAACTAATACAAATGAAAAAAGCGCATAATAAAATTACTAAATTTAAAGGAAAAGTAAATGTACAAAAATTTTAACTAATTCAAAATATTATTAAAAAATATAGCAGTATAAAAATTCATACTAATAAAACACTGGTCAATACTATATTTTCTTCAATATTTAAGAAAAAAATAATAATAATTCCAGTTCTTTTTTTTTATTATTATTCTGAAATTATTTTGATAGCTTACAATTATTCTTTACATTGCCTCAACAGCAGTTCAGTGTTGAGGTCAGAGTGTTTTACTGAATCTCACAGGATTTTAGCCCACAGGTTAATAACAAAACCCATCATATTCTTCAAACCGGCTCTGAACCCTGAAGTAATGTTTAGCAGCTTTACGTACAGCAAACCGCTCCAGGAGTTTTGGTATACTGTACTTTGTCTGCAGCACATCTGATAATGAAAACCTCCAAATAACATAAACCAAGTCATAAAACATTCTGCGTACTAGTCAAGGGCAAAAAATGAAATACCGTCAAGATGTGGCGATTGAGGAGACTGAAACGTCTGCTTAAACTTTACTACTGCACTCAGTTACTACAACTAGTGGACTGTCTACAACAACTGACACAAACCTGCACAGCACAAGACGCTTAGAATGCCTACATGTTTTAGACACCCATCTCTCATGTGCACAGCATTACAACTAGAATCTAGAGTGTAAATGCAACTCAGCTTGACCAAACTAAAGTCGACGCTCAGTTGCAAAAATCAAATGAACTCACTTTTTACTCACAGTGACCAAATGTTCATTCACAGCCTGTTTCTGGATTCCAACACCAGCGAGATTCTTGCAGCCAAAATATAAGAATAACGCTACGCAGCACACTCAATGGAAAGCGGTTCAGGCTAAGCTCACTGGTTTGTGGTTCAGAGGTTTCATCTCAGGGTTCGAGTGATGGTGAAGTCTAGTAAAAATGCATCACTAATGGTACAGACTCTTGGTAGTGGTGGATTGTTGGATGCCTGAGGTGTGTTTTCAGCTGACATGCACTCTGTCATTTAAATATACTGCTCGATCTAATAGTAAAACCACTCTTTAAGAGATGGGGAAACATACAGGGGTTGGACAAAATCATGTGAACACCTGGGAAATAGGCCGTATTTCTTAAGGTGTTTTACCATTTGCATTTAATACAGCCTCCAAACTTCTTAGAACAGATTCATATAACTATAGTTTAGTTGAATGTCATCCATCTGTTGAACGTAAGGGAATCTGCTTTACACTCGTCTCCAAAACTATCCATGGTGGTTTGATAATATTCAAGTCAGGTGGTTTGTCTGATCAAGGCAGATGAAGAAGTTCATCTTGATGCTCCAACTGTCCCAGTTTTATGATCGTGACTATCTTTTTCACATTTTAGCATTGTTGTCTGTGATTAAAGTTGTAGCTCTTTCATGGATGCTGGCTTTGTGAAGTTCCCGGTGGTCAGTTTTTTTGAAAACAAGGTCATCACAATGAATATTGAAGTTTGCTGTCAATTTGCAGCAGTTTAGTGTTGTTTTCGGACAAAATCCTTCTTAGTGTCCAATGGTCCCTATCATTCAATTTTGGTTTTCATCCAATAATGAGGGTTTGCTGTCACTTTGCAGCAGTAGCTTAGTGTTGTTTTCGGACAAAATCCTTCTTAGTGTCCAATGGTCCCTATCATTCAATTTTGGTTTTCATCCAATAATGAGGCAAATCCTGCCAAGATTTGTGTTCACAGTCATGTTTGTAAAGGCTGTTGTTCTTGTTCACCGAACAAACAGGCTGTAGCAGATGCTCCAGCTAAACCGGCTCCCATGATTTGCCCTTTTTGGAAGTCACACACTTCATCTATGGCTTGCTCTAATCACCACTGAACTTATACTGCACTCATATACAAACCAGAAAATACAGACAATGAAAAGATAAATCACAATCTTTGTTTATTTTCATTGTAGTCTGCACAAATTATATGAATCTTTATAATAATGGGTGTTGACATTATTTTGTCCAACCTCTGTACATGTACATGTTTATACTAAAGACATGAAAGCGCCCTCACATCGATATATTTCCGAAGACATCTGATGCAGTGATGACAATACTGTTGGCTATAATGGGTGTGAGTTTCTTCACAATGCTAAAATCCTCTAAACCTAGACAACTCATCATCTAGGCAGAGTCTTGGGATTTGTCCCTAGCAACCACACAACCTTGTGCTAAAAGCCTTAAAGAGATTACAGGTAATAATGTTGTAAATGTTCAGTCTCTTGCACAGACTGATCATTTCACTTCATAAGACCTCAATATATCGTCAGGAGCAACAGGCATTAATTTTGTGTTCCTTGTGTTGCTTTTCTGATGCTCAAAAGTGTAGTAACTGACTTGCATTTTATGAATCACCAAGGACCACGGATTCAGCTAAAAATCTTTACTGTTCTACTCAAGAAAGAAAGTCACCTATATCTTTGATGGCTTGAGGGTGAGTAAATTAACGGCAAATTTTCATTTTTGGGTGAACTGTCCCTTTAAGAACACCCTAGCAACCACAAAACAAAACCCAAGCACTGCAAAGATCGCCTCCACATGGACGATTTACAAAACAGAACTTCAGAAAATTCAATCTAATTCCAAACAAAAGGTGCTGTGAACTTCTAAATACCATGTAATAAATCAACGCCATATTTATGGCCAATTAAACCTGCCTGAGTTACAATTTATGACATTACTTTTAATGCTGGCAACGGCAACTTAAAAAAAAAAGACAAAGTGGAAATTGGAAAATTCCATATTACCATCAAATAAACGTATAAAGTTTTTCAAATCAAGAATTGCACAAACTCAATGTTGAATGATTTATTTCCAACTTGTAAGAATAACTGCATAAAACAAAGAAAAGCACGGCTCTAAAATTAAAACCAAATAATGATAAAGAGCCAAAGATCCTAAAACAAGCTCCAATGTTCAGTCAGGAAATTAAAGTCATACAGCAAAATTCTTGAGAGACACATTAAGTCAGAGTTGCAACAGACCGAGAGCAGATCTAAAGCGGCCCATCACAGCGGATGAATCTGCTCTAATCCTCATGGCATGGCTTCCTTAAAAGTGCATTAATTTCCTTTTCCGCTCTTCATTCAGTTCATTAATAAGCCATTTCTTTGGATATGAGGATTGTGTCATTTAGAGCCATACTTACTCGTGCTTTAAACTGCACCAACGATTCTTCTCATAAACAATAGCTCAAAGTGTGGTCGGTTAGTTTTGGCAGCGGTCAGTAAAGCCCCAGGTATGAAATGCTGCTAGCACACCATTTTTTGGAAAAGACTGTTCCTCCATTTACATTTATGCATTTGGCAGACACGTTTATCCAAAGCGACTTATGCTGCATCAAAGTACACATTTCATCAGTTCATGAATTCCCTGGCAATCAAACCCAAGACCATGATTTTGCTAATGCCTGTTTGAGCTACAGGAATAAAAAAATGAATTAAAATAAAATAAAATAAACGATATGCATATTTAAAATTATGCATTTTCTTTAATAAAAAAAAATGTTTTAGAGCAGTTTTAAAAAAAAATACATTGAAGAAACCAAAAGTGAGATGGTGTCAGATCTGATTTTGAGTCCAATGTAATATCTCGTGTTATGGTAATAAAATGATCACGTCATAGAGCAGCGAAGGTGAAGGTGATAGTGAAGGGGCAGAGTTTAAGCAGATTTAATGATTGGAGAAGTCTGTCATTTACCGGAAAAGCAAACATTACATAGATTAAACACTGTTACAAAAATGAAACGTATGCATGGATGTAAACATCCAGAATAAGATCTATACCATGCATTTTGAAAATACATGAGTGTGAATTTTTTTTTCATGCTGACTTTAAAGAATCCCCTCCACATTACTCGCATGACTTGTGACTGAACTGGAGCCATATCAGCGAAACAAGTACAGTGTAAGGCACTGAGAGAGATATGAGAACCAGCATGTCTTCATTCAACAGCTGCAAAGCATCTAGGAATATTAAGACCATTCAAGATACTCGCTGATCTGATAAAAGTTCAAAACACTCAACAGATCACACTGATTTATGAGCAGATAAAATATGAGCCGAAACGACCATTCAGGAGATCAATAAATACCACTGACTGACTGAACAAGTAATGTGATACTACGAACAATGTTTTTCTTAAATTGCATATTTTTTCCGAATAAAAAGTCCAGATCTTTCTGGCTAATATCAATTGCAGCTCATACTTCATTTTTATATTTGACAGGTCTGTAGCTGTTTGCTATGCATCACATCTCATTTTTGTTTGAAGTTTTCATTAGTATGTTTGCATCAGCAGATGAAACTTTTTTCAATGGCCAATGATGACACTTATATTAATAGAGAGCAAGGTCTCCAATGGAGCGGTTAGCCAAGCCCAGGCCCAGTTCTACAGGGGTACTAGAGGGTGCTAAATACCCTCAAATGAAAGCAAAAGCAATTGAAGATCTGGCAAACTATCCAGTGCGTATTTGCATTTGCACTCTGGACAGTGTCAAAAGTTACTATTTACAACATGTTTTTGCAGCATTGAGCGATGTAAGCCAATCACAGACATATCTGTTGATTTCTTGAATGCAATGGACAATCAGAAACATTTTAGTTTGTCATAATTCACTCACCGCTAAAAGCACCGGAGTTTTTATTAGGTACAGTTTTGCACGCTCGTGAATCGTCTCATAACTAAGTGCAGACGCGATGACGAGATTCATTGTGCAGTTTAGAGAGCTTCATTGATTATAACAGAACTTTTGTGGATCGTGATGAACTAAGATGAGTGAGTGACGCTTTTTAGTGATAATAAAGGGAGCAGTTATAATCCAATCAAAATTTGTGTTTTCTTCTGTTTTTCAGACACATATACACGCTAAAGTTTAGGGAACGACATTTGCATATTTATGCTGGATTCACTCTCAAAATAGCAATGATTGACACGGTCATAACCATAGCAATGGACGGGATAAAAATATATGTGAGAGCAGCCTCAGTGATTTAATTCTAGAAACAGTCCTGGCCAAACCTCCACAGCCAGCACGCGTCCTGAGCGAGATCAAGCTCATGGACCAAACGCGTGTGTAAACTTTACTTAGATCGGGACATATCAACCAGTGATTTCATTTCCAGTAACGGACGGTATAAAGGTCAGGAATGAATGGGATGCGATTTATGACCAAATTCCCACAACTGATTGTTTATTTTTTCTCCACGTGTCTTGCCTTTGGTAACAACGATTCAAAACGGACACATTTCAAGTCTCACCTCTTTATTTATTCTTGACTGTGAGGTATTGACTGCTTTGATGCGTTGCAATATGGTAGGGCATTGTTTTGATGCTTGCATCCGAAAAAGATTCCCGACACAAGAGTTAAATGTTGCCCATGTATGTAGATGTATATATATATATATATACTCATAACTAGTTTTCTTTGTGCATATAGTAATAGTGCTGAATACAACATCTATGAATCCAAAATTCATAATACAGATCATCAACTAAAGAACTAGGCATGCACCAAAATTTCAGCCACTTATTTTCATCAGAAAATAATGCCATAAAAAAACTATTCAGTGCTCACGTGACACACACACACACACTCTAAAAACTCAAAATTCATCATCAAATGCATTTCACAGTTGTGTATCAAAGTTCACATTCTCAAAAGCGATTGCTCTTTTGGTTATTAGTGCTTTAATAAACAGCATTTTCACTTGCTGTGAGGCTATTTAATGCAACATCATGCATTTTGTCCTTACTTGAGGTTTCTTAAGTTTTAAAATATAAAATATACAACATACTTTTAACAACAATCTTATTATATTCTAGTAAAGCCAAGTAAACCAATATAAGCACTAACAAAACTAATATATTTTTTAGCAATTTCAAACAAAATATCATTTAAAATGTTAAGTTTTAGGTTTCATCCCACTGTGTTAAAATTCTCAAGTTTTCACCAAGATTTTTATTTCAGTGCATCATATGCTCAGTGTAATCAGAACACAGATGACGTTCCAAATATATCCGTTTTGTGACAATGTGACTATTGACTTCTGTAGTCAACATGAGGATTTTAGACTAATGCATAAATGTTTATAAAATCACTGTTTATTTTAGGTTTTTCACCATTTACTTTACCTCCATTGTGTTATATGTATCTTTAAATGTACAAATATTCCTTGTAGTTCCTCAATTAATATGAGCTCATAAAAGCTACATGCATAATAATTTGCAGAAGAAAATGTGGCTTTAAATCATTTTAGAATATGAATGCTGAAGAACAGAATCTAATGTCAGCTACCCATAATCCCACTGTGACTGTTTTATGATCTCTCACCTGCTGCTCTGTACAGGATTTTGGGCTCAAAGAAGATGCAGGGGTTTTGATCAGCGATGCAGGACAGAAGAAGACCCTTGGCCTGGACCGGACCTCTCGGCACAACAATCTAACAGACAGAGAAAGGGGGGAAAAATCTATTATTTGTTTCATAAAAAGGAAAAATAAATAAACTTGTCGTTTGTACATTTATAAGGACACTTAAGACTCCAAAGGCCACGCTATGTCTCCACATTGGGCTCATTATGAAGATGCCTCGAGATGGAAAAAATTATTCACTATCAAAAGCCACGTGTTCCTGGCAGCAACGCTGATTTTCAAAGAGACCCGTTCTAACGGAATAGACCATTACAGATGAAGACGCAATAAAAGATTTGCTGCACAACAACAAAGATTGGTGATGCACAGAGAATCAGACAGTACAGAGTGAAGAGGTTAAATCCGCTCGGACACTCATTAAATGTCTGGTCCAGACGAGAGCTGGAGCAAGTCACTTCATAGAGAGTCAAACATCCATCTGCTTTGAATTTGATCCAAACTCTAATATTTCTGAGCGTTTTGATGCGGCTTGAGAAATACGTGTTGTACTGCGAGTGAGATGATTAAAGAGCTGCTGCTTAATCTACCTCTACTCAATTATAATGTAACTCCTTTTGCAAACTAAGTCCTTCATAGACTATGAGAATCTCTTACTGCCCTACAGACCACTGAAAGATAAAAACTACAATTCAAAGGTTTGCATTCAGTAAGATTTTTTTCAATAAAATAATACTTATAAGGCCTGTTCACACCAAGGATGATAACTATAAAAATGAAGTATTAATAAACATTTTAATTTTATGGGAAGTCGATAAGGACGGCGTTAATGACACAGAAGAACAACATTATTGGAATCACTTTCAGAACTGATAAAACGACAAAACCATTGACCGATCAGAAACCATCCAATTTTAAAGAGCTCGGACATTTAAAGCGGCAGATGACAAAACTGTTATAGTTATAGTTATCTTTCTAGTTATCATTCCTGGTATGAACAGGCCTTTTTCAGGAAGTATGCATTAAATTGATCAAAAGTGACAGCAAAGACATTTAAGTTACACATCAATGTATCGTCACGAGCCGCAGGGTTTAATTTGGTTTTGTTTGTGTATGTTTTTTTGACTCTCAAAGCCGTGATTCCCATTCACTTCCATTATATGACTGACAGACTGCAACGGTTTGAGTTAAAAATCTTGTTTGTGTTCTACTGAAGAAACAAAGTCACCTACATCTTGGATGCTCTGGGGGTAAGCAAATAAACATCAAATTTTCATTTTTGGGTGAACTATCCCTTTAATCCTTAAACCCCAGACCTAAACGTAACAACTACCTTACTAACTATTAATAAGCAGCAAATTAGGAGTTTATGGAGGCAAAAATCATAGTTAATAGTTAGATAATAGTGATAACTAAAGTGTGACCTCTATTTTTTTTTCTTTGAAATGTGAGTTAACCATGGCGAGATTCACCTTAATTCCAGGACAGTGTGCGAAGAAGGCCTCTGGACTCTGGGAGTGATAGATCGAGCCGTGACCCACGCAGCCCCACGGAGATCTGATGGTCAGCTTCCCGCAGTCAAACAAGTTCCCCGAACGGTACCGGTACTTGGCTGCTTCGTTTACGATCTTCAACAGCATCAAAAGTTAAAAACAGAAAAAGGACTTAACATTTACAACTCACATCTGTGTACAAGAAAGGATGTACTCTGACGCTAACGCGGTCAAATCCAAAACTCCTCTCATAAACCGCATTTCAGTTTAAAAGGCGATTTTTCCTGCCATTGTCGCCAAAGCTTTTTGAAATAAACAAAGTGTGGAGACAGGAAACTGGTACTCTAACGGTGGAATAATCACATGATAATGAAGAGAGTGAACCAAATAAGCTTCTAGAAATATAAGAGATCATCCGGACTCAAATCCTCTGCTCACCGGACGGTCAGTTTTTGGATGTAGAGAGTGACAGAGTGATTCATAATGGTGCAAACTGTTCCTGTAAAATATTCCCCTATTATTGTATTTGACATTTGGTTGCCTTGACGATGGAGGGAAACTCATCCCATCTCCAGTGAGACGAGGACACGTGGACAACAATAGCACTGGACTGACAGAAAGACAGAAGCTGGACGCTTTGTCTTATACCTTAAAGTCAGCCAGCGTCTCACAAACACCCCAAAATTACAGACTGAGAAACTACTCACACTACTATTGACATCATTGTATCTTGATAGGAAAATACATTAAATAGAGAAATTATTCAAATGGATACATACATGGGCGTCGCTAGGCCATTTTTAGGGGGCTATAGCCCCCCTAAAATGATTACTCAGCCCCCCTAAAACTTTTGCGATTAGCTCCATAAACTGTACACGAATTCGTGATCGCCTCAGTCCCCTTTAAATTTCATATGAAAACAGCGGCAGACTTCGGCTCCTCCCCATCTTTCAGCGCGTTCTTTATCCGCAGAGCGAGAAACAGAGGACAAGGTGTGTGTTTATCGATAGATTGTTATAATATCTGCATCTGTGCAGTTCTTTGTCATAAAGATTTTCCATCTCCTGTGAAGTTTTCGCTGCGTTCACCCCTCATCACACCATAGCTGTTGAATGAAGCCCTTAACACATGGGCTATATAAACACATACTATATATAAAACGATCATGTTACCATTTTTATTTGAAAATGTTACTTTTAATATAAAACATTAATTACAGTGCATATGGCAAATAGTTTTGCATACTTGAGCTAAAGAAAGAGGGTTGTACTAGAAATGCAAACAGTAAAATTTTGTTTGTACAGTAAACAGGTGTGTGTATTGTTTTGTGTGTGGAAGACTTGTATGGCTTATTCAGTACTCAAATGTTATACCTATCTATGCAGTACAGTGGAATAAAATAAGTTGCAAAATGCAATAAGTTTAGTTTACCACCTTACCCTAGTAGTCAATCATTTTTTAAATTTTATTTATATGTTTACTATTATTTTTTATTATTATACCCTCATTGGGGGCTGAGCCCCCCTAAAACGAAAATCTTAGAATCGCCCCTGGATACATATCATGTAAGTCATAAAGCAAAATTTCCTCCCCAGTCCAAAAATATACATTTAGAGCCAGATTTACTAACAGCTTACAAAAAAAAGCTTTCAGATGCAACATTTATGGGAGGAGGTTATCTAAATGAATCATTCAAGCTGCCTTAATAAGGTTTGCTTTTTTTTTTATTTTACAGAGAAATATTGGAATAGTAATACTTCACTTTTTTTAATAATTTTTGTTTATTTAGCAATATTATTATTATTATTATTATTATCATTATTAAATAGCCATTTTGATAAATAATCACAATTTTAGCCAAGTTGTGCAGTTCTAGAAGTAAGCATAGCAAACCTAGTTTTAAAAAATAAATACAATTAAATTAAATTAAAAAATTGCAGAAAAATTGCAATTAGATTTACCCCTTGGACGCCTATCCAAGGTAATAAGGACGAAAACATTATTATTACTTAACAGCAGATAAACTAAGAAAACAATATAGCTGCAAGCAGCGATGACGGGCCCAAGCCCCCGGCACCAACGCCAACCCAGTGGCATCGAGAAAAGGGTTTTAAGGGTTACGGCAATGAAAGGGTTAATCTAGAACATCAAGAGTGTGAAACACACACACACACACACACACACAAAGTGAACAATACATAAAACTTTGGTAACACTTTACAATAAGGTTTCATTTGTTTATCTATGTGATCTATGTGATCTGCATCATACGACGAACAAACTGAAGTTTGGTCAAAATAAGACAATGTATGAGGAAGTTATAATAGACTTCCTGTTTCCCATTTTTCGCCATACATTTATCGCCTTCACCATGGCAAACCGTTCGAGAAATAAAAAATCCCTTTGCAAATTTTGAATCCTCAATGTCTTGAGGTCATGCTGACAGAGTTTGGTGGCGATCAGATGAAAACCCTAGGAGGATTTTTGCCAAGTCCAGAGCAAGCATTTAAAAAAAAAACCTGAATAGCTCACTTCCTGTTGGGCAGAGCTAATGACATGCAGCGTAAAAGTTGTTTGGCTCGATGATAGGGTTGGGTACCGAAACCCGGTGCCAATATACATACCTATGTAACCGGTATGTACTAGAACCGAATCAGAACGCAGATTTCGGTGCCACTTAAATGCCTGAGCGATTGATTGAAATATTTGTCCTGGTTCTCCGAAATGGACATAAGAAGCATGGGCGTCGGTAGGCAATTTTTAGCGAGGCTATAGCAATTAGCTCCATAAACTGTACACAAATTCGTGATCGCCTCAGAGTCAGTCCCCTTTAAATTTCATATGAAAACGGCGGCAGACTTCGTCTCCTCTCCGTCTTTCAGCACGCTCTTCAATCCGCAGACCCGCAGCGGCGCAGCGCGAACGGACTCAAACAGAAACAGAGGACACAAGGTGTGTGTTTATCGATAGATTGTTATAATATCTGTATATGTGCAGTTCTCTGTCATAAATACAGTTTACACAAGGTCACGAGGGAGCAATCGGTTTCCCATCTACTGTAAAGTTTTCGCTGCGTTCACCCCTCATCACACCACAGCTGTTTCCTCGGGCGAAAATCTAGCCCTCAACACATATGAACGCATACTTTATAAAACGATCATGTTGCTATTTTTTATTTGAAAATGTAATATTTAATATAAAACATTACAGTGCATGTGGCATACCATACAGTCATCGTATCGTAAAAAACTCAATCGATACCCAACCCTACTCGATGAGATCTATATGTGTACGGAGTTTCATATGTATATGTGCAAGTATGCATGAGATAAGGACCACCGGATTCCAGGGGGCGCTGTAGAGCCCCTCTGCCATGCCCGTGTACCAGTCTCTGCTAGGCTTGAATTGCCACAGATTCCAAGATGTGTGCCAATTTTCAACAGTTTTTGAGCCCCAAAAGCCCCAAAAACCTTGACGAAAAATAATAATAAAGAATAACAAGAATAATCCTTAGAAAAACAATAGGACACTGCGCCCCCTAGGGGCTAGGACCCTAACAAGATAAATCAAACATGCATGCTTATGCTCTATGCAAGTGCGCTGATCAATGTTTTTATGTGAATAAAAGCCTAAATTAATTCTGCAAAATCACATAAAGTGATCGTGTCTCTACAGGAGACTTGGATTAAATGTCTTGATTCGTATGGATTATGTTTACAATGTCTTCATGAACTTTCTGATGCATCAAATTTTTGGTGTTTGGTGTTTAATAAAGTAATTGAAATAGTTACACTACTTATTACATTTTAAATAGGGTAACTTGTAATCTATTCAATTTCCAAAGTAACCTTCCCAACACTGATCATATCATATACACACAGAAATTCAAAGGTATTCACGGCAACCAATCAAAATAAAAGTTCTGTTTAACTTTAAGACATTGTGTCAGAAATATATTAGTATTGAGCAGTAGGACGTACGTAATATTACTACTACTACTAAAATTAAAACTTTATTTTTTTAAGGAATAATCACACAATATTTCTTCCATGTTTTAATTTTAATAGTAAATCCTCTTTTCTTGCCAAAAAATAAAGTTTGTTTAATTTTCATTAATTAAAAAGTAAATTAAATTAATGTATTATGCCTTCATTTGATAACCAGAATAAATTAAATACACAACACAGAATTTCTGAAAAAAAAAAAAGCATTTCATAAGGCCATTGTTAGAATAAATTTGAATAAATAAAATGTTTTTATTAATTCAAATAATTAGACATGCTAAAACACAGAATTTGGTCACAATAAAGCATAAGGTGAGAAAAATTACACCTCAGTTTCATGATTTTAATGAATTAGACATGATTTTTGGTTAATAAAACTTATTTTAACCATTAAAAAGGAGTCCAGAAAAATTTGTGAAAAAAAAAAAAGAATCTAGAATAATTAAAACGGAATTTGGGAAAAAAATAAAACGGAATTTGGGATATTAGTTGTAATAGCCTTTCAGTGGAAAAACAGAAATCTCTTAGGTTTCATTAAAAATACTTTCATTTCTATTTCTGAGATGAATTAAAATAAAATGGGTTTTGAAATACATGTTTGGAACAAGTAGGTGATGACATTTTTTTTATTTCTGGGTGAACTAACACTATTTAATTATAATAAATATCCAGGACAAAGTTTATTTAAAAAAAAGACTCACCTGATCAAACGCTGGGTAAATGTAGTCGGCAAACTGAATCTCTGCAATAGCGGTGGCTCCCGCCACAGCTGCGCCGATCCCAAAACCCACAATGCCTTGCTCACACAGCGGGGTGTTAAAAACACGGTCCTTACCTGAGGAGAGAACAGGTAAATGTCAATCAACTCTGCACTCAAATCAGTCTAAATGAGCATGTTTTTAATCAGCATCTTCACAACAGGTACCAAATCTGACATGCTCATCCAAAACAAGCTCCTAACAAGCCCATATGAGACAAGATGTCAGTTACAAGTCATTTGCACACAAACGCAAACATGGGCCGTGATGCAGCTGCAGCTGAAGTTTTGATGACTGCCATGATGCTTCAACAGACCGTGTGCTTTTAATATTTGTTAATATTTTTTATAGTTTTTATGTTATGAAGCATTAA